TACAACACTAAAGTACCATTCTGGGAATCCCTACAGGGTCTGTTTCTTGCCCTGGCCTAACTCAAAGGGCTGACAATAACAGCTTTGTGGCTTATCCTGAAACAGTTGTCATTCTGAGTGCCACAAAATCATAGAATGATAAGGAATTGGAAGAAACCTTGTAATCCACCCCATTATAGCATCATCCTGAGGTGGTCATCCAGCCCTTTTGAACATCTGCAATCATGGTTGTTCTCAGGGAGGGGCTATGACGCCATGAAGCAAATACTGTGAGATATGTACCTGTGTCAGACACCAGGGTGCAAGTACATAAAGGCTGGATTTGCATCATGATGGTGCCACTGTAATGTATACATGTGTATGTGTGAGCGTGTGAGTGTGTGTGAGAGAGAGAGAGAGAAATCATTTTTGAATCACTATGGCTTGCTGTGGATCCTGCTGCCTCCAACCAAGGAGAATCCACCACCTTCTGAGACAGTCTGTCTCATTGTTGAATAGCTCTTACCACTAGGAAGTTCTTTGTAATGTCCAATTGAAATCTGCTTCCTTGTAATGAAAACCACTTGTTTCTTGTCTTCTGGAACAACTCTGAACACATCCATGCCATCTTCTCCATGACAGCCCTTTGAATACTGAAGACAGCTATCATGTCTCACTGCAGTCACCTCTTCTCCAGACGAAATACAGCCAACACCTCCAACCATTCCTTTCAAGTTTTTCTTTCCAACCCCTTACTATCTTGGCTCTGTCCTTTGGAGATGCTCCAGTTAATATATGCCCTTTCTAAAATGCAAGTGCTGATAACTGGGTTCAGTTTGACCAATGCAGAATAGAGAGAACTTCTCAGGGTTTATAACCTATGAGATATGTTGCATAGAGGCCCTGGTGGCCAGAAATCTAGAGTGAGAGCCAGTTCAGATCTGGATGATATGGTAAGGCAAAAGCTTGGTTAAATAGCTGTGCATGACTGGAAGAGGAGAAAACCTGGTCAAATGTGTACTTTTAGATTAATGTGTTGTGCATCTCTTAATAATATGAACCTATGAAGCCAAGACAGCTGAGGGAAGGGAAGGGAAGGGAAGGGAAGGGAAGGGAAGGGAAGGGAAGGGAAGGGA